AAGAAAAATGAATGCAAGGTTAAACCCTGAAGAAGTTAGTGCTCTTTTGGCCATTTAAAACTAGAAATACTCTTATAACTTGAAACACACTAGCAGCAAAGCTTTCTAAAGGCAAAAACTAGCCATGGATCCATGTGAACTTGAGAACAGTGAGAGTCACCAGCTGAGCCTACATTGGTCCACAAAGTCCCTTGTTCTTGTTAGGTGCTGTTGAATTGATAACAACTCAAAGCGACCCTACAGAGACAGAAGGAAACATTGCCTAGTCCTGCACCATCCTCACAACCAGGTTCGAGTCCATTTTGTTGCGGTCACTCCATCAACTCAGTTGTCTAGAAGGGCCAGTCTCTCTCTTTCACTGGCTCTCTATGTAGCCCCTTCTCCAGGGATGCCCACTCCAGATAACATGGTCAGAATCTCCCCACCCTTGTTCTGTGAATACTTCTTCCAAGACAGATTTGTTCATTCTTCTGGTAATTCTAAGTACGTTGGACCCTGTTGCTTGTCCGTAGTTGCTGGCTTTCCAACAGCCTTTGCACTTTTAAAAGGGAACTAAGGAGCCATTGTTGGCACAAACCAACAATGAATGAATGTAAATCCAAGTTTTTTTTGTAAACTTTCATTAAAATAACACTTTAAAAATAGAGAAACAATGGCACAATCTCCACTGAATTTCAAACACAGGATATGTGGGTTGAGAGTATATTTTAGGACAATATCTCATGGTAAACATTTCTCTTTTCCCTTCTCCCCCAGTGAAAGACTGCTCAATGTCACACTGTATCTGGCTGGGGCTGATCAAAGTGGGGAGGCAAGAAAGCTAGATGTGCTGACAGGTGTCTGGTTTTGATACATCCAGAAGATTTGAAAATAATGAAAAGTGATGACTCAGATTCTCCAGAGTGGTTACTAAGGGATTGCCTTAGAGAATTTCCAAAGGCTATTATGCAGCGAGGGTATTTAATTGTTGTTTTTAATGAGGTAGATATATAGAGGGGGTTGTTGTTAGGTGTCATCAAGTTGACTTTGACTGATAGTGACCCTGTGAAAAACAGAACTGCGCCTGATCCTGCCACATCCTCAAGATCCCTGCTATGCTCGAGCACCATTATTACAGACACTGTGCCCGTCCACCCTGTTGGCTGAATGATTAAGAACTTAGCTAATAAGAAGCCTCAGTGCCAAACAACCAGTGACTCATAGAGACACAACCTTGCTTGCCAGATACAACAGGACATCAAACGCTTGCTGCAGAAAAGTTGAGTTTATTCAAGATTGGACCTTAAGAAGTCTAGCTTCCTTTTGAATATAAGAGTCAACACTGCGCTAATGGTTTCAACAGGCTGATTAAACAAAAGGCCAGTCTTGGTGGAAGCATCTTCGGGATCAACTCCATGCTTAAAACCATGAGCCACACCGTGCTCCAAACTGCCATGGAACCAATTGGCCTCTTGGTGATCCTAGAGAACTGAACAGATATGCTAGGGTCCTGGTGAAGCCTTGCTTTAACATGTGACTACGTACACAAAGGTGGATCTTTGAAAAGCAGGCAGTTGCTTTTCTAGGTTAATGGCTGTTGAGTCAGGGTGGGATGGGGCTGGGTTCTATTGACGGTGTGAACTGCTGCATTCAAACCCTCTCTCAATCCAAACTGCCCAGAGCCCCTTCTACAGAAAGCCTAGTGTCACCCCCGACTAGTGGTGCCTCGCCCAATAGAGAAATGAGTTCATAAACTAATGTGGAACAACGAGGGTATGTGACTTTAGAAGAACCCTTTTGGAGTAAAATAACGTTTATCATGTGTTTATGACCCCTTTGGCGGCACTAAATAGTGCTCACTTTCTTGAAAGAAGCATGGCCCAAGGGAAGGCGAATGTCCGGACTTTAGTTTGGAGGAGGAAGCTTCTGACTCCCAGAAAGGGCCCAGCGCCCCTGCCTGTGCTGTCAACGGGCGAAGCTCTGAGGGCTGCGGGGAGGAGAGGGCCCTGACCCTGCCGTGGGGTGGGGAGGGGGCGTGAAGTCCTATCACGTTCATCATGGTGAGTCCAGGAGCAGACCAAAACCAGCCCGCTGCCATCCCGGAAATTCCCACTCAGAGAGACATAAAGGTATTGACTAACAAAGGCGTCCTCCTGCATAAAGGGGGGGGGGGCAGCGTTGTGAGCCCCAACTGCCTATGTAGGCCCCAGGCCTCCCGGCTGCCCTCACACCTCATTCCCTTCCGTGGAACCTGCGCCACTGCCTGTTCGCCCTTCGCCATTCGCACCTTCACTTTGAGCCTTCCTTACCATGTCCCTGCTGTACATCTGTGTCCTCTTGCTCCTCACCCCAGTCTTCGCGTCTCCTCCTCCCTGCAGCACCGCTGAACCTGAACCTCAAGACCCTGAATGCCCTAGACCTGGACGCATCTATCTTCGACCTCTGTGGGACAACCTGCTGACCCCGGTGACCCCGACGACTTCGGTGACACTGATGACCCTGATAACCCAGCAGACCTAGCCCAATCTTCTGACTGTCATCACCCTCATGACCTTCTCCAGCGTTCAGACTCTGATCATTCCCCACAAAGGCTGATGCCCCGGCTGCAGCTAGGGGCCTTTGACAACATGGGGTTCCTGACTTGACTCCAGAAGTTAGCCTGGACTCAGGGAGTCCCTGAAATTCCGGCAGCAATTTGGTATCAGGGCCATTGCTGAGGCTTCATCAGGAACTGAAAGTTCCGTTAAAAAATGTGCTGGGAATCCCTGACCTGAGTCGGGCTGAGGCCCACCAGTCACTGGGAATCCCGCTCCCACCTCTCGCTAGACGGAGTTCCACACCAGCTGACTTTATTTTCCTATGGCTGAAGTGGGACAAGGATCTACCTCAGGGGCAACCCTCAAGGACACTTGAAGAGCACCTGAGAATTATGATCCACAGCTGCAGGTTCCTTCAGACCTGCTACAGGGCACAGACAAGCCTCCAGAGCCCCCGGAGGAAAACACAGAACCGCCAGGGGAGGAGGATAAATCTCTGCCGACCAGTCTGTGTCCGATCTATCTGGAGCCCTCAGGTTTGCCTCCAGTAAGCCCTCAGAGTGAACAGATGGACCTATTTGCACCCCAAAAAGAGGCCCTGTCTCTCCCTCCAGAGACATCTCAGGAGAGTGAACTTTTGTGCAAATCAGACACAATGTCTCCATCCATTGAGGGCATCTACAATGAAAACTCCACAGGAGAATCCAATTCTTGAATCCACATCATACCCTGGCAGAGTTAACCAAGTATCTGAGGAGTTTGCCTTAACTCAGGAGCCAGTCCAGGAGATTCAGTCAGGTCAAACTCTGCATGAAGCCCCAGCAGAGCCACCAATGTCTCCCCAGGAGGTTAAACCTGCAATTGAGCAGGAGGTCCTCGCTCCCCTTCCAGAGCAGAAAGTTGAACCTTATGTGGTTCAACAAGAGGCTCCACCACAATTCCCAATGCCCTCTGAAGAGATTGAAGCTGTTCCAGGTCTGGAAAAATCTTCAAAGCCCCCTGAAATCCTCTCATCTTCTTACACCCAGCAGGAGGTTCCAGGTTCCCCCCTGGAGTTCCCTGAGGGGACCAAATACTCAATGGCACAAGAAACCCCAGCACTGCCTCCTACGCCTCACAAAGAGGTTCATCTTTTTTTAACTGAGCAAGAGGCCCTATTTCCCTCAAGCCAGCAGAACACTACTCAGCTTCAAGAGCGTCTTGATGAAGCTGAACCTATACCAGATCAACATGAGTACACCTCAGTGCCTTCAGAGTTCATGGAGGTAGGGGAGCCATTTACAGTCATGCAAGATGCCCAGGCTCAGTCATCAGAGTGGCCTACCGAGGGCGAACATTCTCTACTCCAGTTGGAGAACTCATTGCCACCTCCAGCATCCACTGAGAAGGTTGAAGCACGTAGCTTTGCAGCTTTGGCCTCAGCTCAACCTGAAGTGTTTCCTAAGGAGATTCGAACATCTGAAGCCCAAAATGAATATTCAATGGAACCAGCAGATTACACTGAATCACTCCCATTCCCTTCATACAACCAAGAAGCCTCAGCTCAGCCTCCAGAGCAACTTGAGGAGAATGAACCACCTTTGATTATTCAGAACAACCCAGGTGAGGTTTTAGAGTTCCCTCAACATGTTGTAACCCAGCTTCCAGGAAACACTGGAGTGACCGTTTCACCTGAAGGTCAAAGTGAAGTTCAGTTCCCCACTCAGACTCCAGTGCTTCATGAGGTAACATTGTCACCAACAGGTCACTATTTCAATGTGCCCAGTGCCACAGCTCAGCCTTTGAACCTAATGCTTGCAGCCCTACAAAAGCCTACAGTACCTTCGTCAGCTTTTCCTCAACTACCTATTTCCCAGGCAGAGCAGTTGCAAGCTCAAAACCCAAATTTGAACAAGTTTACAACTAAATCTTTAGATTTTGAAATTTCCACTGCTCATCACATTATTGAAATGGCATATTCTGTGACCTCACAGAAAACTACACAGCCTTCTTCAGAATTTTCTGAGCTGACCTTTTGCCAGGTTCAAGATCAAAAATTAAACACTAACAGAAACTCCTTTGAAACTGGGCCTTTCAAAAACAATAGAATATACTACCATGACTGAAGATTTTATAGTCCAGAAGAAAGCCATACCTCTTTCAGAGAACTATGAGGAGACACCTCTAAATCCAGACCAGGTCCAGGGTTAGCAGCCAAAAATGACTAAGGTTATTATTGTTCAGCCATTGGCTCTGGAAATTAATGTACCATCTGAAACCAACCTTGAGATTAAACTGTCTCCTGAAAAACAGGGGACATCAACTCAGCCTCCAGAGTCCTTTCACAAAGTTGCAGATAGTACTGGGGCTGTACATTCTGCAAACCTGGAGAAGAGCGTAGTTCGCCTACAAACCAAGTAACATGGGACATGGAGATTTCCGTATACCAGACAAGAAAATAGAGAGACTGGACTAAGTGCTAAAAATCAAGAGACTCTATCTCAGATGGCAGAGACTCCTAAGGGCGGTGTAGCTCAATTCCCAACACACCCTCAAGAGCCTTCCAACGAGGCGGAATCTTCGAAAACAAAACACCTAGCCTCAGTTCCACCTCCAAGTCAAGAAATAACTCACCATCCAAACGTGCCCGATGTCACTGTTCAGCCTTGGACCTTGGAACTTACTCTATCTCCAGAACCAGAAACACAGGTTGTTGGGTCTTCTCCAATCCAGCAAGACCAACCAACTCTATCTCTGGAGCACCGTGAGGAGATTGTAGCTCAATCTCCAGTTTATAATCAGGTGACAGTTGATTCTACAGGTCAGGGCCAAGGTCAGAAATCAAAATTACGTGATGTCATAGTTAGTCTTCTAGACCTGCCGCTTACTACAACTCCTCAGTTCACAGCAGAGATTAAACATTCCATTGCCCTGGAGGAAACCGCACCTCCTACAAAGCAAAGCACACTGAAGTCGTTTACTGAAACAAGAGCATTACAGACTGCATCCCCTCCAAACCAAGTGACAGTTCAACTTGTGAGTCCAGAAGTTATCATGACTTCAGCATCCAGCATCAACAAAGTCAGCTCTTTCTTTACCAGTGACTAAGCATTCTTTAAATTTCACCCCAGAGAAGGAGCACATGTCTCCAAGGGGGCCACCAACACAGCGTGCCAAGAACAGAAGTAATACTCACATACATATGTGAGCTCTGTGTCTGCCAAAACGCAATGTCGTCCTGTATTGGCCTTCAAAAAGAGAAGAAGAAGCTCCGCAGAGTGCCTGTGCCAGAGCCCAACACGTACAACGGCATCTTCACTGTCTTGTAAGAATTCCTTTCCTTGATGGTTCTCTGCTCTCCTGACATAACAGCCCTTTTCCTTGAGATCTTTCTGGTTTCCTCATTTTTCCAACCCACATTGAACAACTTCCATTTTTACCTTATGTTTGTCAATGTTTCCTGATCTTTATTCTTCTTTTTACTATTTGTCTCTAATTCTGTAGTCTCTTCTTATATTGCCCTTATTATTTCCCCCCTGTGATTTCAGGTAAAAGTTACTGAGAAAATTAGTTTCCCATTCAATAATCAATCCCCATATAGGTTTGTGACAAAACAGCTCCAGTCTTCTTCATGTAAGAACACTCTTCACACTTCTTCCCTGACTTCCCTATTCCCATTTGACCATCTTACCTGCCTCTTCCTGCCTTCTGAATTGTGTTGTGGGATAAATTATGCCTTTTTTGGTCTTGCACGGTTAATTGTGCTGAGGAAAATATTTCTCATGCTGTTTTCACTTTATGGGCCTGTATGTTGTTTGACATGAGTTCAGCCTTAGGTTTGAAGGGTGTCTAAGGGTCATTGTTGAGAATTACGATAATTTCTATCAGACCGATGAAACAGGTTTTTTTACAAAAGTATTTACAACTTTGTTCTACATTTTTCTCCTGCTCAGTTCATGAACCTGTACTGTGGTCTCAGTCACAGCAGTCAGAAATGGTCGCTGGGCACCGTCTGGTTATTCTGGTTTCAGTCTGATGGAGGCTGTGGTTCATGCCCATTTTCCAGAAGCATCTTAAATTCATGCCCTAACTTCTGCTCCATTGCCAATTTTGCTCTATCCTCTTTACGGGATTATGGTCCTTTCTTATTTCACTGAAGATGATACAACAAAGTGGTTAAGAGGAGAGATTCTAGAGTCAAACTGCTTAAATTTGAACTCAGCTCTGTGATTCAATTTCCACATCTTCACAATTTCCACATTGTATCACCATGTCATTGGATTGTGGGGTGATTTAAAACAACTTCATAAGGCATATATGTGAATGGTAACTATTAATCTTTTGTCCTTCATTATGTCCAGACAATTTATGTCTTGTTAGATCTCTAACCCTGGCTTTCTATGAATGGCACCTGTTAGATGCTCCAAACAGGACTAGGCACTGTAGGAGTCACAAAAGTGTAAAGCATTGTCTTAAGAACATAATAGATTAAAGGAAGATGAGAAATACTGATGAAAAAGAAAGTGATGTATAATCATTTTCTAAAAGAGATGCAGAGTATGTGTATTGTAGTTCACTAGAATGTAATGGCTAGCTGGCAGAAACCAGAGGAAGAAGCCTAGAAAAAAAAAATTTTGATCTCAAGGGTGAGTCACTCACTCATTGCCTTGAAGTTGGAACGTATTTGTAGCTGACCCTCTATGCAATTTCTTTTCCTGTAAATTGCACAGGAAGAAATTGCCCATCTTTCTACCTCAGAGCCGCTGGTACATTCGAACTATCAGACAGGTGTGGGTTTCGGTTAGCTGTGCAGCTAACCCAAGTTAAGGACTTGCCCATCAGTGCTCCCTAAAAGAGTGATTTGTTGTTTTGATCTTTTTATATACCCTACATTCAAATCCAACTCATAGCTGGCTCTTTAGGTTTTCAGAGGCAGCAAATGACACAAGAGGAAATTGCCAATCTTTTTTCCTCACAGCTTCTGGTGGATTCCAACCACATTCACTTAGGTTGACAGTGCAACTCTTAGCAGTTAGACACCAGAGTTACCCCAAATGACTAGGAGTTGCTAAATTAAAGTCTAGACAAAAGAGCCTGGGAAATGGCATGGCTGTAGAAATGATAAGATATAGTAGATGAGTCTGACTTTAAGAAGTTGAATTAGGAAACAATGAAAGTAAATTGTAAAAGGCCTCAAGTTCCAGCAAGAGAGGTTTCCAAGTTACATCATGAAAAATGAAGAGCTATGGAACATTTTCAAGCAAGCAAGAACTAATTCAAACAGGAGTGTTCTTTTAGAATCTATGTCTAAAGCCGTGTAAGATGAGATGTGGGGAGACCAAATAGAAAGTTCTGGAAAAACTAGGAGGAGGAAAGTGAAAAGGGGCTGAAGCAGAGTGATTGGGATGGGAATAGCAAGAGAATCCTGGGAGCACTGCATGGAAAGGAGGACAGGATGTGGTGGTTGAGTAGAAAGTTGGGGAAGGAGCATGAAGGAATGAGGAAAGCCCGGTCATAATTCAAGAATCTGTGTCCTGGATGATTAGGAGAATGATGGTGGTAGAACACACAGACGGAAAGTCAACAGACAAGAAGGAGAGACATTTGAGGAGGTTGCGTGAGATTTAGGCATCTAGCAACTGGAAGACTTGTTTGAGCAGGAACATCTGCTAGGCAGGTGGGCAGCATAGTAAGTATTTTAAGCCCATTTCAAATGCCACCTATCTGATGCTTTAAACAGAATAGGTAAAATGTTGCTGAGGGAAGGGAATGGAGTGAAAGGCAGTTATGTTCTGTCAAGTTGAATGTAACCCATAGTAACCCTACGAAAAAGATCTGAATCCTATTTCCCTACGAAAAATATCTGAACCCTATTTTGTCCTGTGTCACCCTCACATTTACTGACAAAAGAAAGCCCATTGTGAGCCTGAAAAATGCATCCTGAAACAAAGGAGGGGCTGTGCGGTGAGCACAGGGTTGCCAAGGTGTGGGCCCCAGACCACAGAGCTGCCATAGTGGTTCAGCCCCTGTTTGGGAAGCTGTGCTGCCAACCATTTGTCCTTAGTCACTGTGCCTTCCCCTTCCCCTTCCGTTAGGATGTCCCCTCTGCCCCTTTGAGTTCTCCTGCTCCTCACTGCAGCATTCCTTGTAGTCAGAACTTCCTCAATATTCAGTGCTGGTCCTGGACCACATGACCCCTTATGCTTCAGAATTGAACACAGGCTTGTAGTCAACAACCACTGATCAAGTTCCTGACCCGGATTAATCTACTGATCCTCATGAAGACCCTGTCTTTGTTCAATTTCCAACCTCTGATCAACCACCAGAACCACCTCAAAGGCTAACGCCTCTGTGGAAGAGCGCAGTTCCTCCTACAAATCAAGTTGTAGTTCATACATTGGACTTAGTGATTCCAGTATCTAGAGAAAAAAATACTGGGCAAACCGCCACAAACCAGGAGACTACAGAGCCTCCTAAGGACGGTGTGTATTCTCAGTTTTCAACATGTCCTCAAGAGCCTCCCAATGAGGTAGAATTGTTGACAACACAACAGCCAGCCTCAGTTCCACTCAAGATAAATTTCAGCATCCAAACCTGCCCAATGTCAACGTTTAGTCTTGGAATTTGTAGTTTATTCTGTCCCCAGAACCCAAAACAGAGGTTGTTGAATCATCTTCAACTCAGCAAGACCAAACAACTCCATCCCTAGAGTCACCTGAAGAGATTGTAACTCAATCACCAGTACATTCTACAGGTCAGGACCAAGCTCAGATTTCAAATGTACCTAGTGTCATAGTTCAACCTGCAGACCTGGCGCTTACCACAACTCCTCAATTCACCTCAAAGACTGAACAGTCCACAGCCCTGCAGAAAAACACGCTTCCTACAAAGCACAATACAGTTCAATCTTTTATCCAGAACCCTTTATGGAGACTAAGCCTTCTACAATCCTGCAGAGACCTACATCTCCAAAGCACGCTTATGCAGCATTCAGCATCAACTGAGGCAGCCCTTTCTTCTCCAGTGACTTAAGTTGTTTTGTTTTGTTTTTTAAATTGCAGATCACGTACAGACACATGATTCTTACTGTGCTGTGCCACTGACACAGATTGCCAAAACCAGAAGTGGTATTTACATATGTGAGCTCTGTGTCCTACAATTCTTGCCGTCACAGAGAGAAAAAGCTCAACGAAGTGCCTGTGCCAGAGCCCAAATTAATTGATGGCCCCCTCCATTGCCTTGTAAGATTGCCTTTCTTCATTTATTCTCTACACTCGTTTGACATGACAGCCCTTTTCCTTAAAGCCTTCCTGGTTTCCTCATTTTTCCAACTGATAGTGAACAACTTTCTTTTTTACCTTATTTTTTTCAACATTTCTTTATCGTCATTCTTCTCTTTACTATTGATTTTGATTGTCATTATTTTCCTGTAGTTTTAGTTAAATTATAAAGAGAAAAAAGAATTAATTCTTTATCCTCATTTTGTCATGTGACAAAATTAGCTCCAGTCCTCACCATGTAAAAACACTCCTCCCACTTCCTCTCCATGTAACAACACTCTTCCCACTTCCTCTCTAGGTTCCTACCTCCCATTTCCCCATCTTTCCTGCCTTCTGAATTTTGCTTGAGGGTAAATACTGCCTTTTTGGCTTTGCACAGTTAATTGTTCTGAGCAGCACAATCCTCATGGGGTTTCTGTTCCCTTTTAGGCCTGTATGCTGTTTCTACATCAGGTCTGAAGTGTGTGCAAGGACCATAGTTTGGGGAATAACATCAATTTTGTATCACTTAAAATTTTGTTCTACGTTTTCCTCCCACTTTGTCCCTGAGCCTCTATAGTGATCCTCATCCGAGCAGTCAGAAGTGGTAGCTGGGCACCATCCCGTTCTTCTGGTTCCAGGCAGTTGGAGGCTGTGGCTCATGCCCTTTTCCCTTTAGCCTTATCATTTCATGCTTTAACTTCTGCTCCATTCCCAGTTTTGTTCAATCTTCTTACGGGACCATGTTCATTTTCCATTTTACTGGAAATGATACAACAAAATGGTTAAGAGGTGAGATTCTAGAGTCAAATTACTTAGATTTGAACTCAGCTCCGTAACTCAGATCCCTCATCTATAAAATTATTGTATCATTGTCTTCTGCAGAGTTAGTTGTTGGCACTGAACCTCAAGAGTTTAACATTTTATAGAAAATATAGCATCTGTGGATCCATTTCAGTGATATAGTACTTGTTGCAGAAGATCAAGGAATGTGGCCTTTAGTATAGATTACATCTCAATGTCAGGAAAACAAAGATTCTTATCATTGGACTAATAGGCAACATCATGGATGGATGGAGAGGAGATTGAAACTGACAACATTGGCTTCTTGCTTCAATCCACAATTAACACCCATATCTCCAGTATGGATTGAGGCTCAATGTCAAGAAGACAAAGATTCTCACCACTGGACCAATTGGCAGCATCAGGATGGATGGTGAAGAGATTGAGATTGTACACAGCTTTAGTTTGCTTGGCTCTGTAGTCAACAGTCTTGGCACCAGCAGCCAGGAAATTAAAAGGCACATTGCCATGGGAAAGTCTGCTGTTAGGGACCTCTCCAAAGTACTGAAGAGCAATGGTGTCTCTCTGGAGACTAAGGTGCATCTGATACAGGCTATGGTCTTCGCAATCACTTGTTATGCATCAGAGAGTTGGACAATGACCAAGGAGCATAGAAGAATTGATGCCTTTGAGCTGTGGTGCTGGAGAAGAGTATTGAGAATAGCATGGACTGCTAGGAAAACAAATAGATTTGTCCTGGAAAGGGTTAAACCAGGTGGCTCCTTGGAGGCAAGGATTCTGAGGCTCCATCTAACATACTTTGGACATGTTGTGAGGAGAGACCGGTCCTTGGAGAGGGACATCATGCTTGGGAGGGTGGAGGGACGGCGCAGGAGAGGAAGGCCCTCTATGGGGTGGATTGATTCGGTGACTGGGATAATTGGAATGGCAGTGTCAGAGGGTCGCTATGAGTCACAAGCGACTCGACGGCACATAACAACAACAACAATCTCTAGTAGTCAGGAAATGAGGAAACACATTGTACTAAGGAAATCTCCAGGTTAGGGCCCTCTCTAAATTATTGAGGTGTAATGATGTCAGTTTGAGGACTAAGGTACATCTGATTCAGGCCATAGTCTTTTTTTTTCTGATCACTTGCTCTGCACCTGATGGCTGGATAATGATTAAAAACAACAGAAGAATTATTGATGCCTTTGAGCTGTGGTGTTGGAGAAGAGCACTGAACCTCTCATAGACAGCCAAAAAGAACAGCTATGTTTTGGAGAAGAGAACATTCATATTTTGGAGGCAAGAATGATGAGGCTTTGGGCATGTTGTTAGGAAGGGCTTATCCTTAAAGAGTGACATGACGTTGGGAAGAGTGGAGGGTGGCAAAGCAGAGGAAGACCCTCAACCAGATGTTATTGAAATGATGACAGCCACAAAAGGCTCTAATATGTCAGGAAGTGTGAGGATGACACAGGACAGAACAAGGCTCATATCTTTTGTTTATGGGGTCTTTATGAATCATACTCGACTCAACAGTACCTGACAACCAGTCCTTTAAAAAATGTATCATGGAAGTATTTAGGATCAAATATGAAGTACCCCCATTTCGCTTTTCATCCTTCTCTCTCTCACTGGTAATGTAATTCCTGCCATCAGTTTAGTCTATGTCCTTCCTTCCAATGTCTTTCCTTGTATTTACACACACACACACACACACACACACACACACACACACGCACACACATTTTATATAAGTACATTTGATTGTACTTATGTGAAACCTATACTTGGACCAGGAAGCAGTCCTCAGAACAAAGCAGGAAAACACTGCATGGTTCAAAATCAGGAAAGAAGTGTGTCAGGATTGCATCCTGTCCCCATACCTTTTAAATCTATATGCAGAACAGATCATTCATGAAGGAAGGCTTTATTAGGAGTGTGGCATCAGGATTGGATGAAGACTCATCAACAACCTACTTATGCAGATGATACA